CGTTTCCAAGAGGCACAGCCGTGACTCGTCAAAGCACAACCGTGTCTCTCGCGGAAGCAAAACCGTGCCTCTCGCAAAAGGAAAAAAAACAGAAAACGCGTTTTTTTCCGTTTCCAAGAGGCACGGTCGTGCCTCTCGCGAAAGCACAATCGTGACTCTCGGGAAAAAAATGCGTTTTTTTGCGCAAAAAGAATTCGAAATTTTTTTTTGTCGAAAAGCTAGAGAAGACCGGTAGAAAACCAAAACGTTAAAAAACCGTTTAAAAAGCCGAAAACTCATGCGGCAAAATAAAAAAACAAAATTCGGAGGAAGCGCCCGGAGCGTGACACGTGGAGAATGACTGAGAGCACGTCAAGTGGCGCTGATCGTTGTGAGGCTTCCGAAGGAGCGCTCGTTAGTGTTAAAACTAATTGTGTAATTAGGGGGAAATCTCCCCTTGAGTAAACCGTCGTTGCGGTTTGTCCCGCAACCGACGCCTCCCTTCGATCTCCTGGAACCGACGCCCCCTCGAGGGATCGTCGTGTCTCTTCAGGACATATAAAAGGGGGCCTGTAACCATCAATCAGACTCGATCATTCTGATTCAAAACACGTTATCACGCACGTAGACAACCAGCGAGAGCGAAAGGCAAGAAAGAGAGGAGAAGAGAGGGAGCACTCGCCGCCGTTTTCTATGGGGACAATCCGATGGAAGAGGAATTATGCCTTGTGGACAGTGGTACCACAAACTCCATACTGAGGGAGATGAAATATTTCCAAACTCTAAAAAAGGTGAACGGAGATATTCTAACTATCGTTGGACGCGATACAGTGATTGTTGGTACTGGACGTACCATATTCACCCTCCCAAGCGGTACACAAGTGACGACTAAGGATGCTTTATTGTATCCCGACTCATCACGTACCCTGATCAGTTATCGAGATATCCTTAAGAATGGTTTTCACATTGAAACCCATGAAGACAACAAAGAGGAGTATCTACTCTTTACTAAAGATGACGGATATGGCAAAAAGGTACATGAGAAAATTCCTTCTCTATCCTCTGGTTTGTACTATAAGTACATCAAACCCGTGGAACATGTTGCATACAAAGTAATTTTTCAGAATGTTAACGCATTTCAAACCTGGCATGATCGCCTAGGCCATCCTTGAATAGGGATGATGAGAAAAATTACTAGCAATTCCATTGGTCATAATTTGCTTGAGTCAAAATTTCCTCAATCTTCTGATTTTGTTTGCACATCTTGTGCCACGGCAAAGCTAATTTTGAGGCCCTCACACCTCAAAATACAAGCTGAACTACTTCAGTTCCTTGAACGTATTCAAGGAGACATTTGTGGTCCCATTCAGCCATTATCTGGACCTTTCCGGTATTTCATGGTTCTGATTGACGCATCTACACGATGGTCACATGTGTGTCTTCTATCCACATGAAACCATGCATTTGTGAAGATAATGAGGCAAGTCATTAAGTTGCAAGCCCATTATCCTAAAAGTCGAATTAAATCAATTCGAATGGACAATGCTGCAGAATTCTCCTCACATGCTTTCAATGATTATTGCATGGCTTTGGGAATTGAAGTTCAGCACTCTGTTCCATATGTTCATACACAAAATGGTTTGGCTGAAGCATGGGTTAAGAGGATTAAACTCATTGCAAGACCTTTGTTGACGAATAGCAACTTGCCAACCTCTTGTTGGGGTCACGCTGTTTTACACGCTGCTGACTTGATACAATTGAGGCCAACTGCATATCACAGTTCTTCCCCTCTGGAATTGGTACGTGGAAATTCTCCAAGCATTTCCCATCTGCGTAAGTTCGGATATGCTGCATTCATCCCGATCTCACCACCACAGCGGACATCTATGGGCCCACACAAGAAGTTGGGGATCTATGTGGGGTGCAAACTCACCGTCGATTATCAAGTACCTGGAACCCCTGACTGGGGATCTGGTCACAGCTCGTCATGCTGATTGCATATTTAATGAGGAACATTTTCCGGCATTAGGGGGAGATTTCAAGTACCAGAAAGAATGCCCGGAAATTGATTGGAATGCTCATTCTGTTTCATCCTCTGATCCACGTACCCATGAGACCGAACTTCAAGTTCGGAAGATTATTAATTTGCAACATCTTGCAAATAATCTGCCAGATTCATTTACTGATCTAAAAGGTGTTACAAAATCCTTAAATCCGGCCAGAAACGCGCCAGAAAGAGTGGAGGTACCAATAAAAACCACTCAACTCCCTATTCCTAAAAAGAGGGGGAGTAGTACTGTCTCTGACCTGAAGCATGCTTCTAGAAAGCAGCAAAGGAAAGCGAGGAGAAAAACCTCGGAATCAGAAAATGCAGGTCAACTCAACATTGACAAACACCTGATGGGTAGTATACACCCGGTGGAAGGGAAACCTCCACAACCAGTTCCAGTGTGCACAAACTCACTGGGACATCGGAACACCCAGACTCGATCGTATTGGGAAATCACGAAAAGTCACTCGGGGTGCAGGAAATTTCCATCAATTATGTTGATTCTGGAGAATCATTTGGCCGTAAGACTACGACGGTCGACATATATTTTGCTGAAAAGATTGCAGATACCCTTCTCACTGATCATGACCCAAGGTCTATCGTCGAGTGCCAAAAGCGCTCCGACCGGCCTAAATGGAAGGATGCAATGCAAGCAGAAATTGCCTCGCTTAACAAAAGAAAGGTATTCACTGAAGCAATACCTACACCTCCCAGTGTTTTCCCTGTGGGATTCAAATCGGTTTTTCTCTGGAAACGGAATGAGAACAATGAGGTGGTGAGATATAAATCAAGGCTCGTGGCACAAGGTTTCACGCAGAAACTCGGCATTGATTTCACTGAAACATATTCTCCAGTGATGAGTGCAACCACTTTCTGGTATCTTATATCTTTGGCAGTGCAAAATCGTCTATCTATGCAGTTGATGGACGTCGTGACCACATATCTTTACGGGTCACTAGATTCGGACATATATATGAAGGTTCCTGATGGAATCTCGGTCCCGAATAAAAATGCAAAACGCAACATGTATTGTGTAAAGCTGAATAAGTCATTATATGGCTTAAGGCAGTCGGGACGGATGTGGTACAACCGACTCAGTGAGTTCCTTCTTCAGAGAGGTTACTCCAATAGTGCTGATTGCCCATGTGTTTTCATCAAGAAGTCCTCTACAGGATTTTGCATCATTTCTGTGTATGTTGATGATCTCAACATCATTGGTAGCACACCAGACATTGATGGAGCACGCAATCACCTAAAGATGGAATTTGAGATGAAGGATTTAGGTAAAACCAAATTTTGCTTAGGCATTCAACTTGAGCACCTTCCCTCAGGAATCATGGTACACCAATCTGCCTATATCCAGAAAATATTGGAGAAATTCAATATGGACAAATCCTATCCATCTAAAACTCCTATGGTGGTTCGATCTCTAGACGTGGAGAAAGATCCGTTCAGACCGAGGGATGATGGAGAAGAGGTGTTGGGACCTAAAGTTCCATACCTCAGTGCCGTTGGAGTGCTTATGTATCTTGCAAATTGCACAAGACCTGATATTGTATTTGCAGTGAATCTACTTGATAGACATAGCGCAGCTCCCACCAAACGTCAATTGGTCTGGAGTGAAGAATGTCTTTCGATATCTCCAAGGCACAAAGGATCTTGGTTTATTTTTCCAGTCTCAGAAAAATCAAGACTCTAATATGATTGGATATGCAGATGCTGGCTATTTGTCTGATCCTCATAAAGCCAGATCTCATACTGGCCTCGTGTTCCTACATGGTGGCACTGCTATATCACGAAGGTCTTCGAAATAAACTCTGATAACAAACTCTGGTGGCAACATCTATCAATCATTCTGAAATAATTTCATTATTTGCAGCAGCATGTGAATTTGTATGGCTTCGCAGAATGATAAATCACATACAACAGTTGTTTGGAATTGGTTCGATAGAATCACCTACCATTATCTATGAAGATAATGTGGCTTGTGTTGCGCAGATGCAAACAGGATACATCAAGAGTAATATCAAAGCATATTTCTCCTAAATGGTTTTTTCCCATAATCTTCAGAAAAGCAAGGAAATAAGCATTCTGCAAGTCAAATCATGCGACAACCTTACTGATTTATTTACCAAGTCTCTACCAAATTCTACATTCCAGAAATGTGTTTAAGTCTCTACCAAATTCTACATTCCAAAAATGTGTTAATGGAATTGGTATGCAAAGACTTAGAAACTTGCAAGTGCCAAGACTTAGAAACTTGCAAGTGCCAAGGGAGTCTCTTCTTAGATATCCTCATTTTAATGACATCACATTATGCTATCTTTTTTTATGCTATCTTTCTTTGTGAGTATATGTTTTGGGATCTTATGAAAAAATTATGAAGAACTTTTGAAGGAGAATCTTTTGAGATGACAGAGTTTCCCAGACAATCGTGAAGATGGTTTGTGGTTTGTCCCGCAAATGACGCCTCCCTCCTGGAACCGACGCCCCCTCGAGGGATAACCCAAGATCCATCTGGACGGATTTGTTCTCTAAGCACCACCTGAATACATCTCAAGAGTGTTGTAAACTCAGATGCAAGAACAGCAGCCAAACATTGAAATAACAAGGTGAAAACATCAAATTAAAGACAACAAAGTATGAGGGTATTAATAAGGCTGAAGTGCTGCTAGAAATTGATGTCAAATACATATTTCATCCACATAACTATAATAACACGGTAAGCTGCAAAATTGAATACAGTTGCATTTCAGTGCCCAAACCAAGTATAGGTCACAATATGCACCAGCGATCACAAGCACAGCAGTACATGCCATACGCAAGCAGCAAAACCAGGATATAATATAGCAATATATAAAGTTCACAAGCTAGCAATAACAAGATAGCATGGATAAACTGAGGATTATACTTCAAGCAGCAGAGCCAATGAAACCAGATTGCAGATGCAGCAGAGGCAGGAGCAGGTAGCTCAACTCGGCGAAGTTTGGGGGGCGCCACTGTTGGCAGGAGCAGGAGCAGGAGCGGCAGTTGCTGTGGTAGGCGCAGGTGCCACGGCGGATTGATCCAGGGACGCAGCAGTAGCTTCAGTAGAATACGCTGTAGGCTGCCCATAGCTACCAGTAGCATAAGGATCACCGTATGACTGCTGCTGGCCATAGCCTGGCTGGCTAGCAGTGGGTGCACCAGGGTAAGGCGGCGGTGCACCATAGCCTTGCTGACTGTATCCATACTGCACATAACCAGCCTGAGCAGGCAGTGGCTGTCCATAAGTAGGAGCAGATGAAGGCGGCTTCTGAGCCTGCGGAGGCTGCCCATAAGCACCCTGACCGTACGGGCCCTGTGGTGGTGGCTGCGTACCATAGCCAGGCTGTGTCTGTGGAGCAACGTATCCAGATGGAGGGGCAGAACCTTGCGCCGGGTAGCTTGACGCAGCAGCACTAGTAGGTGGTTGGCTAGGATAACCCGGTTGGCCTCCAGAGGATGGAGTGGAAGCTTGCTGCCCTGGAGATGCTTGACCAACGCCGCCTGGACCACCATAGCTAGGTGCAGTACCATCCTGAGTTGAATTAGCAGATGATCCATAGCCAGATGCCCCATAGCTCTGCTGGTCATATCCAGGCTGCTGTGAGTAAGACTGCTGCTGCCCTTGGGTCTGGTAACCAGAGTAGTCATAAGCTTGCTGCCCACCACTCTGCTGAGAGTAGGTAGGATCACCATACCCTTGTGAACCATAACTAGCAGGAGGCTGGCTGTAATTGTAGTTGCTACCATCAGCAGGTGCAGCAGTTCCAGTGGCAGATTGTTGCTGTTGGGGTTGCTGCTGTTGGTTATAGTAGTCATAGCCAGTGCCAGGGGGGGCTTGCTGTGATTGCTGGTTTGAAGACTGATCCCACCCTGTCTGATAACCACCAGATGCTGGAGGGTAGCTGCCATAAGGTTGCTGGCCATACTGTGGTGGCGCACCAGGATAAGCTCCAGGCTGCATGTAACCATAACCAGGCTGTTGTGTTGTTGGTGCACCAGGCGCACCCCAGTTTGCCTGAGGACGAGGAGGGCGGTAGCCCTGCTGAGAATAGCCACCTGACATTGGATTTCTGGCACGATTCTGCAAAAATATAGTTTGCACATCTGTATATGACTAGAACAAAACATGCAATGTACCATGCAGAACAAGTGCAAACCAGACAAAACATATCCAAAACCAAAGCAACGTAATATACAGAAATTACAGAACCACCAAGAAAAAATGGAGGGGTCAACTCACCGAGCAAGATTCTCAAGCAACATTGCTGATGCCCATCTAGCGTCTCCCATGTGCAAAACTATGGGAGATAATGAAGATTGGGCAGCTAGACAAATATATATATACATATTGAATAGCAATAAAAGATTGCCTTGCAGTTCATAGATGTTGATAAATCAGTATTATGTAGAACATCTACTTTTAAAGCTAAATGACACAACATACACAGCAGCAGTTCTTTCGAAAATCCTCCTCAAAAAAAAATATTATATTATAGGTGAACAAGAATGTCAAAGAAAGGATTTAAGCAAAGTTTTTAAGGAAGCTTGGTCATGGCAACCTGAAAAGTCAAGACACAGAGAAATATATAGAAGCAAACCGAAGACAATAGATTCATGCCAGGTATCCTGCATGATCTTTCCAAACTACACAACACATACGAACTCTCTTGCCTAGTCAATAAATTGTAACATTCTTATTTGTGACGTGGTGCTCCCAGATGGTGGTGTTAGCAACAGGTAAAATGGGACTGAAAATGAAGCATCAAGAGTTTTAAGGGAATAATGCAAGAATGATATCTAGACCCTGAGTGAGCAAAAATATCAATAGCCTAGATACCAGCGACAACAGTGCACAAGCCATCATTTAAGTGTGCAAACTGATCACCTGTATACAGTATTGCACAGACTATCCCCAAAGATGTACAGAAATAGCAAATGGAAATTTGCCAGGACAAGGACCAGGTACATGAAATCAAATCATATAATCCAAATATAAAATAGTCCTTCCGTTTCAATATAGAAGAACAAGGTGTGTTGCTGGATGTATGTATTATATTGTTCAAAAAGTATTTATACCATTGAATTTGTATTTGAATTCTAATGGTATACTCCAATGGTACAAATGGGCCCTTTATACCGAAACAGAGGGAGTAGTTCATAATTTTATCTTTCATCCATGAGCATCAAGTATATTAACATTAGGTAGCAACAAACCTGGCTCCAAGATTGATGTTGGCAGCCCTCCGAACTAGTTACCAACACTAATTTGGCCTTATGTCTGCTAATGATCAGACAGTATATCCTGGGATATATGGATAGCACCACAAGCACCGGTATGATATGTAGTAAAAACGCTGTGATAGGATATCAACTTCCCAATGGAAGTATGGATTAGCCAGTATTTAACTGTGAGTGTTTAAATATTTCTAGTATTTTCAGCAGAGATTCCACAGAGCATAGCAGCTAATAACAAAGAGACTGGGCAAATTACAAATACAATTTCCGATTCGTTGTGCATCTCTGAACATCTCAGAAGCAAACACACAATTGTATAAAGTATACAATCATGTCAAAGACAAACTGCTGCTGCTCCTTGACCAACTTTTTTTACAAGACAACCCCCATTGAGAAAAAGTTTTGGACATGTACATTTGACAAGAATATAGGGCATATCATAACTAAAGAGAAGATTTTCAAAAGCAAACAATGGAAAAGACAGGTCAAGTAGAGAAATATAAATCAAGACAAAAACACAGTATGGCATACAAAAAAATATAATCAAACCCACATGATTTTAACAACACTGATAAATAACAAATAGCTGCAGCAATTAGGAAGTGGCATGTATAGAGAAGGAAAGCTGACCTCACTGGTAACCTCACTCACAAGCTGCTTTGCTATTTCAATTTGCTCTGCAGTACCATCAATATACAGTGTTCTTTCAGTTGAAGTATCACCGGGAGGCAAATGCAAAGGAATGACCTGCAAAAGGATTTGTGAGGACAAATGAAATATTACCATTATTATTACTAATGGAAATGATTACATAATATACAATACTAATTAACAAGAAGATGCAGGAGTGAAGGGAGAATAACAGAACGAATAGTTATGAAGGCGAAAGGAGCATGGGTTCAAATTCTAATTGAGCAAACTCGGAACTTGGATTTTAATTTACTTGCTAAATTATAAGAAAACTAAAAAAGATGAGCAACAACAAAACGCATCATGCAGTGCTAAGTAACTTTCAGCTAGCAAATTTATATTAGACTTCGCAATAAGAAAATTTTCACAGACCTGTATACGAGCTTGAGATTTGGCCTGCATGGATTTTATAGTCTCACCACCCTTACCAATAACCAGACCCACCTGAAATAAGAAAAGAGATTTAGACATGGAAAGGAATAGGCAAGGTTTTTTTACCACCAAAGGAACTGAAGTCCGTGAAATAATAACAGCTGTGAAGCTTACAAGGCGCCCTCATTGCTATATTTGGGCGTGGTACGACCGTACGATATTCGAAGTCTGACAAGCAAACCCAGTTCTAGAAAGCAACCAGTTTACCTTATTGTTAGCAATTTGCATTTGGAATTGCTCAGCACCAGGTTGAGGTGCGTTGTACTTCCGATTAGAGATAGTGCCAGATGATCCAGCATCAGCCTGCAGAAGGTCACATGACACGTATGGTTGAATAAATGGATGCACAGCTAAATGTGAAGTCCTGACCATAAAAAAGGTATCGCAGTACCTCTGCAAGAACATCAATTATCAACTGCTCAGCTCTGTTTATCTGATCAGGAGTGCCCGAAAGATCAACTGATCTTGTCTGTGAACCGGGTTGAACATCCATGTCCCTTGTTACTTGGATCTTCGCCCCTGACTGAGCTTGGAGATGCTTTATAGTTTCTCCAGCTTTTCCAATGATAACACCAACCTAAAAGTCAAAGAACATTATCAGTTAGCAGAGCAAAAGAACTGCACGTCATGCAACCTTCTATCAACTTCATGAATCCAAAAACCAAAAGTGTAACTATCAAGTAGCATACCCTTCCATTTGGGATGTCAATCTTTTTTGTTGTACTACCACTCTGGTATCCACCACCATATGAAGAATACTGATGTGAGTTTCCTTGAGAAGATAAGGGTGGGATGGAGGAACCATGGCCTGGAAACAAAACAACAACTCATTATATTACTTACATTATGTTACTGATAGCTGCAGATCTGTCAAGTGAGAAGAATAACCTTCACGTGAACAACATAAAACAGGACAATAAACAGATGTCAGTGCATAAGCAACAAACTACTAACGTTCAGATTTGCCTGAAAATATTATAGGAAATCACATCATCTATGTACTAGTACGTGAGATAATCAAATATTAGGCTCTGCTGATAGATAATCATGAAAGCAGTACATTTTCGTTTTTGCATTAACATGCAAAAATGAGAAGAAAAAAAAATAACCACAGAAACTATTGTCATTTAGCAGGCATGGCTCCTACAAAAGTTCAACACAGAATATCATTTGTTGCATCTAGCAGGCAGGAGTTAGTTCCAGGAAACATTGATTAAAATATTACATGATATAGCAGAATCGAACTATGGAAACTACTAATCTACACAAGATATATTTGCCAGAATTATTAACAAACTCAAATAATACTTGAGCACACAATACAGAGATCTAAACCTAGCAAGGATAACGAAATAGCTAGGCATTCTGTTGTTGCCTAGATCGTAGCACGGTTAAGCTTCTAGCCTAGGCGGGCTATTTTCTTCCAGTGCTTCCTGAACATGTCGCTAAATCGCATGGATCGCATAACAGTACTCAGCAGCTAAGGAACAAACTAGATAAACAGCATAACAGCAGCCGCAACCACAAGCACACAAAAAACAGATCTCCCGATCCAACAAGTGTTTCACGAGGTTTAGCCAAGATACTCACCACCACCGGCTGAGGACGAGAATCCAAGGCCGCCGCCGCCGATACGGCCACCGCCCCCCAGGGAACCTCCTCCACCAGCGGTGCCCACGTCGTCATCGCCATTGTCGACGCGGGGACGCTTCGCCTCAGCGGCGCTGAAGAGCCGAGCTGCGATCTCCTGCGCGCGCTGCTTCGCGAGCTGGATCTCGTCGGGAGGCGGCGGCACAGTGTTGTACGAAGATGGCACCGGGGCACCGGCAACCGGCGGCGAGGCGGGCGGCGGGCCGGAGGAGAATCCCGTCCGGCGCGGCGGCGGGGAGTCGTCGTACTTGCGCTTGGAGGAGTAGTGGTCGTCGGCCATGGCGGCGGGGGAACTAGGGTTAGGGTGGTGGCGGCGAGAAGCGCGTTTTTGTGAGGAGCGGAGGGATAAGACGTCGCAAAACGGAGAACCCTAAGAGCAGCGGGGATGCGTATTTATAGGCTACCTCGAGGATTTTACTAGTTCTCTGTCTGCTCTTTTTTTTTCGGAAATGTTAACGCCCACACATGTGGGCGTTAGCCAACTCACTCACACGCCTCCATCACCGTCCAGTAACTTTTGCATGAATCTTGACACGAATTAGCTGATTTTGTATGCCACGTAGGATAACTCGCGTATGTGGTGTGTGTGAGAGGTCGCCCACACATCCGTTTTACCGCACGGAAGGGCCGGTGTGTAGGTGTTTAGCAGTTCGCCCACACACCAGTTTCAATCACGCACAAGGGCTGGTGTGTGGGCAGTTTGCCATCTCGCCCACACGCCCGCCTCCTCTCCCACATCCAAGCTGCCAGTTGCCATGCGTTTTGCAGTGTACATGGCAACTGCCCTAGTGTGATTGCAAGCAGATGGCAACACTTTTTTTTTACCCGAACATTGTCAGTCGCCATATGTTTGGCATGGTACATGGCAAACTGCCCTAGCGTGCACGTAAGCAGATGGCAACTCTTTCTTTTTTAAATGGCAACTGTCCTAGCGTGCTTGTGAGCACATGGCAACTCTCTCTTTTATCCGAACATGTTTTTTGCCATGCCTTTTTTTGTAGCGCTACATGGCAACTGCCTAGTGTTAGTAGGTGGCAACTCCTAAAGTTTTGAAATCATGTCAACTGCAGTAGACCAGACCACACATGGCAACAGCTGTAGTTGTCCAAAAAATGGCAATCTGGAACTTTGACCTGAGATGGCAACTGCAGTTGAGCAAACATGGCAACTGTAGTTGTCCGACATGGCAACCGTAGTTCAGCGACATGGCAACTGCACTTAAACGAACATGGACGAGGGTCCGGCCCATGGCAACTGCGGGGCGCGCGGTAAAGTGTCACGTGGGGCGTGCGGGACCACGAGGTACGAGGCCTAACGTACCGAGCGTGTGGGCGTTATCTATTTCGCCCACACGCACGCGTGTAAGAGGGTCCGGGAGGGGAAAAAAGAGGCGTGTGGGCGCTAGTTGTTTTGCCCACACACAGACGTGTGGGCTGGTCCTTTTAGGCACCACATAGAACGCGTGGGCAGATTTCTTAACGCCCACACGTGTGGCAGTTATCGGGACCCCTTTTTTCGAAGATGTCTACTCTAGTTCTTCCGGTGTTATGATGATATTTAAACATAAAAGAAGGCTAGCCGACCCTCCTCCTCGGAGCTCCTCCGAATCAGGATGTTCCTGGCCGTTCGATCGTGTTGAATCTGGTCAACCGAGCAGCCAGGTTCGTCGGATCCTTAATGCTGATTTCACCTTGTGGTTGATTTTTGAGGTCCATGACTGGTGGGCTCGGGGTCCCTTTCGATTGGCTAGGTGAAACTGCCCCTTTCCCCACTCGCCTCGTGCGCCTCGCTCATCTGCTGGCAATGCTTCAGCCCCCACAGCGCAAACCTAGCTTTCTTTCCCCTCGACCCCCACAGCGCAGTGCAGCACCACTCCCTCCTCCCTCATCAGTCGTCGCCGGGTCTTCTCGCTAGGGTGGAAGAGTAGGGGATCCGGCCGGATCCGAGGCGTGTGGGCGTGGCGGCAGGCATCTTTGGCAGCGACAACGGGCATCTCCGGCAAAAGGCGATGGCGGGGACGCTCGATTCGCCATGGCCCGGTCCCTGTAGGAGAGAGAAAGCAAGAGAGGAGGGGGAAAGCGAGAGGAAAGAGGAGAGGGAGGTGCGACGGCGAACGGGAGAGGGTCTCCGGCCGGTGCGAGACATTCACATCTCTCTTCCTCTCCTGCTGATGCGGAGCATCCTACGGCCATCACCATGTCAAGAGTCCGTTTGGCAAGCGACACGTGCGACCTCTACTTCTCATACATAAAGGTGAATCTTCTCCTTTACACGTGTTCACTTGACCCCTTCGAGGATGGCATACTACTTGACACTCCACTCGTGTGCATGCATAGGTATTGCCGGAGCTTCACGGACGACGAGGAGGAGTGCAAGCGCCAAGGAACACCTACACCATTCGTGAGGGAAGCATGGAAGATAAGACGGAAGAAAACGGAGCTGCTACATGCTACAGCCACCAGACGTCCGGACGCCACCGGACATCCGGTACCTGACACATCCCAGACGGCCAGAAGAACTCCAGGCGACGAGTGCTACAGCGGCCGGACGACCGACGAACGCCGGACGCCCGACAAGTCCCAGCGCCTGGACGACCGACGCCCACCGGACAGCCGGTGCCACCTTCACAGAACGATATTTACGGAAGTCCGAAGACTTCCGCACCGTCCCGAGCCTTCAGACGTCCGATGCATGTGTGCGCAGCCGCGGGCCTTTGGCCTTGTATCCCTCTCCCACTTACCCCTTCGTGGCTTGGACTATAAATAGACCACCTCCATCTCCTTTCTAGGGTTAGCAAATATGATAGCTCATTCTTAGGTGATCTTTGCTCCTACCTCCTCCTCTTGAGAGAGAGAGAGAGACCACTCCCATGGAGTTCAAGACCTCCATGTGAGAAGATCCTGCGGGATATCATAAAGACCCCCTCGTGGGAAGATCCGTCTAAGATACCATCAAGACCTCCTCTTGGAGATGAACCCTACCTTGTATCTTTTCTTTTGTTGTTCATGTACCTTGAGGATCTTGTGTGTTTAATTGTCTAGTGGATGTGTAATTGGACTTGTTCTTGAGTGTTTCCCCTTGTGATTTATCCACGTTCTTCCCCGTGTTCTTTGTGTTCTTCGATGGATCCCACTCCAATCGTGAAAGATCGGCCTACACCGGGTTAGCCCCGTATCATGTGGTATCATGAGCCACGTTGATCACGTATTTTGAGTCCCTCCCACCGTTTTCTAGCCTTCTTTTGCTTGATTTCGTCCTAAATTTCAAAAATCCCCACCAAAAATAGCCCCAATTTTTTTTGTGATTTGTTGGTTTGATGATGTTTTGTTGATTTTGATCCATGAATTTTCTTGGTTTCGAGTGGATCTAGCATTTCCCCAAGTTTCCCCGTCTTTCATCCACGAAATCTCCTCAATGTTGACCCCAAAATCACAAAATTCCGCCCAAAATCGCCTCCCGAAGCTCAAATCCCGCTTTGACCCCGACCCCCGGACGTCCGACCTTTTCTGGACGACCAGAGCCTGCCAACAGAACAAAAATCACGGATTTTCGAGCCCTCCCGGACGTCCGACGACCGGACATCCGTCCATTTACGGACGTCCGTAACCTGTAGATTCCCACTTCGGCTGATTTTTGTTTTGTCCATAACTAATTCATCCGAACTCCGATTTCGATGTTCTTTAGCTCGTTTTGAAGCTATTGACATCCCCCGTCACACAGAAATACTAACAACACCATTTGACTCCATCAAATTTTCCAAAATTTGGCAAGTTTGCCTAGGCCTCCCACCATATCATCCGCTACACCACCATCGACTTCCGCAACCTAACCATCTTGATCCCCATACCATTAGTGGTTGCTTGAGTAGTGATTTGGGTCTCCTAAGGTGTTTTGGCTACTTAGGGACGATTGCTTATTCATCGACCACCACCACCACTTCCGCATAGGCGTACCCACCATACACTTCCACTCCAACTTAACCCAATTTTGTTTGAGTTGTGAGTTGTGTCTCCTAAGGTGTTTCGGCAACTTAGGGACGACAACTTAAACTTCAACTCACATAACCCATCATTCCACTTTCGCATTGCCAAGTGCAAACCACCACCGTTTTTCGCTACCACCATTTGACATTTGCCTTTGGAGATTTTGAGTTTGCGGTTTTTCCCGTTTCCTAGGGTGTTCGGCTAACTAGGAACGGGTCGACATCGGCAACACCGCCTCTCATCATCGCCAAGGACGATAACCTCGACGACACCATTGTATATTCCCCTTGCCATTGCATTGTTAACCCCTAGGCCATTTTGCGTTACTTGCCTATCGAGACTAGCCATTTGAGTATTGCCGGCAACGTTACTTGTGCACATTAGTGATCTATACTTCCCATTGCATACATACCATATCATTGTGGTGCATATATTGGTATCATATCTTGTGTCACAAGTTTGTTCCCACATATACACAATTGCTATCTTGGTTTGTGCATTGTGCAAAAGTGGCCATACAAAAAAAGAGAATAAGCTTTTAAGCAAAGAAAAGGAGAGAGCAAAGAAGCTTGTAAGCAAGTGCCATAGCATCATACCACATTGCACATAAGATTGTCATATCCGATCATCTTGGATCATCTTGAGAGAAACACTAGGAACCATACATACATAGCATACTTGGGATAGAAAGTTTATCCATTTTGCATCTTATAGGTTGTGCACAAGTGTCGTATCCGTGAAGGAAATATGCCCTAGAGGCAATAATAAAGTTATTATTTATTTCCTCATATCATGATAAATGTTTATTATTCATGCTAGAATTGTATTAACCGGAAACATGATACATGTGTGAATACATAGACAAACATATAGTCACCAGTATGCCTCTACTTGACTAGCTCATTAATCAAAGATGGTTATGTTTCCTAACCATAGACATGTGTTGTCATTTGATTAATGGGATCACATCATTAGAAGAATGATGTGATTGACATGACCCATTCCGTTAGCCTAGCACTTGATCGTTTAGTATATTGCTATTGCTTTCTTCATGACTTATACATGTTCCTGTAACTATGAGAAATATGCAACTCCCGTTTACCGAGGAACACTTTGGGTACTACCAAACGTCACAACGTAACTGGGTGATTATAAAGGAGTACTACAAGTGTCTCCGAAGGTACATGTTGAGTTGGCGTATTTTGAGATTAGGTTTTGTCACTCCGATTGTCGGAGAGGTATCTATGGGCCCTCTCGGTAATGCACATCTTTATAAGCCTTGCAAGCAATGTGACCA